TAACTGCCGTCAAAGTCGGGTGACGATGTTCTTGTTTAGAGATAATTAATTGCTTGATTAATTAGCAACGAGATGAATTTACAATACCGGTTGTTACGGACACTTGCCGACTTCTAGAATCTTGTTTGATCGTGATGGTGGTCTTTTCTCCTTACCGGAGTTTTAAAGTGAAGATTAAAGAAATGTTGCTTATACCTATTTGGTTTTAGTGATCTTACATGTATCTAGTTAAGCTTGACTACTCGTTTTGACATTGTCCTTGATTAACGATCAACGGTTAAATTTTGATGGACGAACATCAAGCACATCGTGTCCTGAAAATTGCAATTTATTTACCTTACATCAAGCTAGATACAAATTTTTTTTTTAGATTTTTATTTATCTTTATGCATTGTTTTATCCCTGTTACTAACTACTTTATTATCTTTATATATTGACGAGATTCAATCGATCAAAATAATCCAGCATATGTCCAATTCCAATTTAACCATATTTTTTAACAATAACCACAGCAGAAAAACAACATTCATCAAGGAATATGAAAGTTAATAATTTAGTGGTGTTACACTTTAATTCTATTTAATAACAATTAAATGTCACGATTCTAAAAATTATAAAAAGGGTAAAAAAATTTACAAAAGGTGCTCTGAGCAACATACAACCTCGAGTACAACATAGGAATTAAGTTTTGAACCGATAGATAGATTTTAATTTACAATAGTTATATTGTATCTGGTAACGCATCGACCGTTTAGAATTGAAGCTGTAAAATCTGGAAAGGCATTTTTACGCCGGCAGGACGAACTGAAGTCGGTTGCATAATTGAATACTTGTCGCACATACGAACAAATTCACAGCAAGTTTCGTTAAAATGCATCGCACCATTCTACCGATATTTTAAAAAATATATTTTTGTGAAAAACTTTGACCATCCAGAAAAAGCAGACAATTTTTCGGAATAAAAATTAGGTCAGATCGTATTCGTACATTTTTCACCATGTGCTTACGGGCCTGTATATCGCGCACTTGTGCATAATTGCTCTGCGCCCCCTTTCAAGATAGTAGTTAATAAATTCGGATATAGTACGAGTAGTATGTATTTATCAAGCCTTTATTATGGGAAGCTGAAGACAAATCGCAAGAGGGCGCGATAGATACAGATATGGGCCCAGACCTGATTAAAAGAGATCAAATCACTGCCTGGCATTCTTATGTAATCTGTGAATAAATGTTGGACCGGGTGGAACCACCCGAATGATGAACAAATTTTTCCCTTCTGCTCGATGTGATTTTCCAACATCAATTGTTATCAGCACTTTGGGTTGAGACTTTCTTGGAGACGATTTTCTAATAGTAAATGGTATAGAGAATTGCATCGATAGTTTCGTCTCGGCTCGACTCCTTCGTTGTCATTAATTTCATTGAAATAATCCAGTTACCCCCGCTGTCCACTTTACCGCCCCCTGTGAGGCCTATCGGTCACGCACATTGCCGTCACCATCAGGCTCGACTGTTTTTGGCCCCACGCGGAGCCATAGGCCCAACTCCGTAGTTCCAAAAATCGATATAGACTCCACTCATAAATAATGCATTGCAGTAGGCCAGATCACCCCGCCCCTCGCGTCCCAACGTGCACGCGACGCTATTCTTTTGTTTTCGCACTCCCAGGATTGTCCATTGTTTTGCCTTCTTAATTGGTTTGTAAATTATTGTTCGTACTGAACAGTGCTGGAGGAATTTTGATCGAACTCATCCTAATTCGGTGCGTGTTTAGCACTAAGAGTCCCCTTACACTGGCATACTGCTGCCAGCAGACTAAGGCCCAAGTCTACAATGGCGGTATATACCAGGAACAAGCTCTTCGTAGAGTAAGATATACCAGGTATAATCTGTGGTATAATACTATGTGTTGTTCTACAAAAATGTGCAAAATGCTTATTTATAATTTTTGACATTCTATTATTGATAGAAATATTTGAATCGGTTATCGATGACGGTAACTCATCTGCGCCAACATTTTCAAAATCCAATTCAATTGGTGAATCTCCATTCTTTTCTTCAATGCAAATGTTATGCAGAACGGCTGTAGCAACAATAATTATCTTTGATAACTCGGCGTTTACTCGCATTCCTAAGGACAATATGGGAAATCTTCTTTTCCACACACCGTAAGATCTTTCAACACAGTTTCTGGTTCTTATGTGTGATTCATTATATAGTTTTTCAGGAGCTGTGAAAGGATCTGACAGTGGTGTAAGTAAATAGTTAGTGTTTCCATAGCCACTGCAACTCAAAATAACACAATTTGGGAATTCACCATTGGAAAATCTGCTCTTGATTGTTATTGAAAATAGTTTGGTCATGGCATGAACCCGGCCACCTTGCCACTATGTCAATTATTTTCAATTGCGCATGGCAAATTGTCTGAACATTTCATGAAAAGTATCCTTTCCTATTACGGAACCGCTCAGCGTCTTCTCCTCCAGGAGACTGGATTTTCACATGCGTGCAGTCAATCGCACCCCAATGACCAGTGGAAATCTGGCAACTATATAAAAAATTTCGCTTTTTATCTGGTGGCAATATTTTCGGGAAATCTTATATTCCTCGGACGCAACCGAGCAATAGCCTCTGAAACTTGTCTCACAATTGAACAGGCAGATGTTTTGCTTTCTCCTTCAAAATCTCCAACTGATATGAGCATATTTCCATTGGCATAAAATCTTAAAGTGAGCAATAATTTAGTTGCTGGTGAAATAGCTCGACTCCGTTCTGTCTGCGATTTGAGATCATCACAATCAAATGCAACAGGGTCTCACAGGTTTGCTTTTGCATTCGAAACCGAGTAAAAACTCCAGATCGGTGTATTCTATAAAGTAATTGGGTCTGAAACCAATTCAATTTTTATCAAAATTAACCAATAGATATAGTGATAGCATTCACTTACCGTTTTTTAAAAACTTTAGGTCTCCGAGGTGTTACTGTCAACATGTTATCAAACATATCGTCTTCATCAGAATCAAATACAGACATATATTCTATTCTTCCCGCCATCGTAGTAAATCAAAATTTTTTAAAATCGCGTGACAAAGTTGTTTACATATGGAGAAATTGTAGGTTATGAAACCAGACCAAGAAATAAGACGCTGTCACTCATTGACCAATAGAACGAAGAAACAACTTTATCTGCAGTATATCCGGCTCATTTCAGCGGTATAATTTATACCGCCATTTATACCGAGTAGAACGCTATTCGACTATTGTAGAACCCAATTTTACAAAGATATACCAAGAAGAGCTTGTTCCTGGTATATACCGCAATTGTAGATTTAGCCCTTATCAAACAACAAATAACCCCAAACATTCGCAGATACTTTTCTCAATCCGCAATAAATCGTACCCTCATTTCTATCGAGCTTACATAATTGGCCCACTTTATTGGGCAAGAGTGAAGTATGAACTTTTTGTTTTATTTTCGGTTGTAGTTATGTATATAGGTATACAGTTAAAGAGTATGCACTCTAATTTAATTTATCCCCATATAAAAGAATAATTAAAGCAAGTAAAATTCCACATTCTAATTTATTCTTTGCTTCATACAAGAACCATGCGCCCTTCTTTTCGATTCAAAATATCGGGACACCTCACTGTAAACATTGTGCGATGGCAAACATTTTCTGTAAGATAACTCCTCCAGCCGAAAGCCTTTTGACAAATCGTCTGAATGAGATCTGGGGAGTATAAGGGAGAATACATGTATTTAATTTGTTCATACTCTCTCAATGAGCTTTACTGCGTGTCACCACTAGCTGTATTGTCAATCTAAAAATAATTCAATTGGTTTTGCTCTATAAATATGTATTATTGGAACTAGGCTATGAACATACAGGGTGATTCAAAATTGGCGTCATTCCTCTGGAGGTATTGTCTGGCGCTGTTATAGGAGTACAGAAAAATTAATAAAATAAATTAATTGTTACTAAAAACTGAGAAATTTGCAAAAAACTGTATCAGAAATACGGCAGCAATGTTTTTCAAGGTAATCTGCCTAATTAACATTGCGCAAATACCTGTTGCTTCGTAATTACTTAAAACTCCGGTAACCATGGAATTATACAGACTGACAATAAGATAGACAAAGATAAACAGTAAATTCAACAAAATTTGTTGACGAAATGTCAACCTGTTCTCATAACCTCGAATTTTGCGGGGTTTTGTGTCAGAGACTTGTCTCTGTTTGTGTTTACATAAATAATCCATACAACACCAAACATTTGAATGGTTTACTCCAAACAAGCTAGTGCCTGTCTAATCTCCTTATTATCCACTATCATCAAGCAGCTTCTCGTATTCAGTTAATTAACTCGTGCTCCATTTGTATCTTCTTGTGCTGTGTGTATCGTACAAACGCCTTTCCTCGGTATTTACTTGGTGCTTGGGAAAGTGTCAGTTA